GGCTTATCATAAAAAGAGACATACTAAGGAGCAATCTGTCCCGCCGTTGGCCCCGGCACCGCCAACCCATTCCCATTAACCCCCCCCTCCTTGTTCTGCGCCTCCCACTCCTTCCCCGCCAGCCAACAATGACTCCTCATGTAAACCCCCTCCACACTAAAGAGCACCACATCCGCGCTCAGCTCCACAGTCTTCTGATCGGCAGTCTGATACCACATCTTCCTCACCTCCCCCACGTCCTCGGCCCTCCACGGCGGGTTCCCCTGCGGCGCCTCGCACAAAAAGTACTCCACCCCCTCCGTGTAATGCAACCCGGGCGCGTCCACCACCAGCATCGGCAGGCTCTGCAGTGTGACATACAAAAACAACCAGTGCCCAATCCGGTGATCAATCAAGTCGTGCGGGTGCACCCCCTTGGCCTCTTTCAGCTCAAACTCCTTGTACGCCTGCAAAAAAGGCATGCCCAGCGCGTCCGTGTCCATGTTCCTCGACTTGATCATGATCAGCTGCAGCTCGTGCGTCTGCAAACCCTTGTCAAACTTGGCCTTCTTCTTGTCGGGCAGGTTGTCGTACGTCTCGTAGATGGCCGTCATGGTCGGGATCTTGGGTATGTCAAACGGGATGGGCGGCAGCACCGGCGGGGAAGACTTTTCAAATTCGGAGAGCATCTGCCTCAGGGCGGAGACGCACGCCGGGATGAGCTCCATGCTGGGCTTGTTCTTGTCTTCTTTTCCCTCCGCGTTCTTCGAGTCGGCGCCGTAGTAGTCCTGGTCGATCACCCGGGGCGTGATCGACTGTCTGTCCACCAAGAGGTCATACAGCGCGCAGAGGTCGGAATACAGCATCTTTAGACACTGGCGGTTGAGACCAGACTGGGTAAAGTGGTTCTTTTTCGAGCGCGCCTTTGGTGGCCAGGACCCGAACAAGTCCTTGTAGTACCCCAGGACAAACGTCCTCATTCTGGAAAACGCGGCGCGCCATTCTTTGAAGCGGACGATGCGGTAGTCTGGGTTGGAGGTGGAGCTGGCGGTGCCGGCGAAGAGAGAGGGGTACTCAAAGTTTTCGAGGCGGCCTTGGACGTTGGCCTGGCGGTTGGCAAGACTCAGATGAGCGCGCTCCAGCCTTTCCCTCGTGACGGCCGAGATGCTGTTGTAGAGCGGGAGTTTAAGCTCAAGCAAGCTCTCATACTTCCCCACCGCATGAGAAAACGCTTCGTTGTACAAGTTCCAAGACTTCATGTGCTCCCCCAACACCAACCCCTCAATCGTCTTCTCTCGGCTGTGTCTAACATCGGCGATGTGAAACTGATCAAGAAGCATATCAAACGACGCGTCCACCGACTCGCCGTACGAAGTCCCGTCATAATTCGTAAACTGAAACTGCCTCAACTGCTCCGAAATCTGAATGAGCGCTTGAAACAGCGTCGGCTGCTGAGGCGTCCCGACCAAAGGCTGGTTCGTCAAAAACGCAAACAAGTTCCTCGCCGCCACGAGGCAGTCCACCTCGTTGTTCCCAAGAGGCAGATACAAGTGCCCATCAGCAACAAGACCACCGCCCCCTCCCGAATTCCGCGACTGCAGCCCCGGCCGTTGTTGGCGCCGTTCGGCGTCATCCACCCCCAAAAAGTCGGAGCTCATCGCCGCCAAGGCCATCATCTCCTGCACCAACAGCTCGTTCAGTATCAATGACGAACTGAACGCATAATCATGCACCCTAAACGAAGGCCCGAGCCCTCTTTCCTTTGGGTGCAGGTACACCAGCACATTCCCCTGTTCGTTCCATAGCTCGGGGACCTATGACATCAGATATTAAGGTCAGAAGTGTGATTTCGCCAAGCATTTCATGATCGAGGTTGCTCACCTTATCCCCGGTAAACAAGGGAGCGACATTGTAATCCACCTGGTTATCCGGCGACATGATCCACGCTCCTGTGCCCTTTGGCTTCCCCAAGTCGTTCGAGTTGGACCTTGACCTTGCCCCAGGCAGCCAGCTCTTCCGTACTTTCTTCTTGGTTTCTGGAGGGGCAGCACCGCCGGCCGCAGTGGTGGGACTGAGGTTCCCTCCTGCTTCGCTGGACCGTGGCTGCGAGTCCGCACGGAACTCGAGTGGGTTGGACACTGCCCTGGAAGCATCGACAGAGAGTCCCCTTGGTCCTCCTCCTGTGGGTGGCTGGGCCGAGACACTGCGACCTCTAGGCGCCGCACCTGGGGATTGGTGACGAGGGTGAAGACGGTTTGCATGGAGCTTGTTGGCCGCCGCCGATGGAGGAGGGCCTTCGGGGGAGGGGCTTCTGTTTCTCTGTAGCTTTCTGGGTTCTGTGGTGGCCGCCGGGGTAGCTGCCGTCGTCATGACATTCGGTACGCCGGGGGGAGGTGAAGCTAGGTGTGGATGGATGGCCGGTATGGCCTGCTGCGGAGGGGGTTTGGAGACGGGCATGGTGGGAGCTTTTTTGGGCTGGAAGGGAGAGCCCAAGACGTTGTGGTGTGGGCGTGGTGGTGAGGAAGGCGCGAAATTGGTTACAGGCTGAAGAGGTGAGTCGTTACTCTTCACGTTACTGACCGGTTCATTAGGCGGCTCAAAGGGACCGGTCGAGTTGGTGTAGTTTTTGATGGTGGTGGGGGTAGTGGTGGTAGTGGTGGTGGTGGTTGGAGCTGCGTTGGTATTGTTTGGCGGGGTATAGGGGGTATAAGACTTGCTCGGAACCGGTTTTCGATGGATCGGCCTGTTCTGGGGCTGAGAAGGGAAACGACGGTGCGAATCTGCATGAAAACGCGTGGTGAGCAACCATGAACCCAGATCTTCGGAACCCACTGTTCTGGCTCGTACACACTAGGCTTGTGCTTGGGTACGTACAGCAATGCCCGGTAACAGGAGACCCAGAGCTGCCGCTATCCGTCTCGGAACGTGGCGTAGCAGGCCTCTCGGTCTTTGCAGAGAGCTCGCTGCTTGTGCTGCTGCCAAGACTAGTTACGTCTGTTTCTCCCTCGCTCTTGTCCTGGCCTTCTTTTTCAAAGTGAAACGCGGGAAGCCGCAAACCAAAGACGCTCATACGACCGTTTTGCGACTTACTCGACATGGTGTCGGCTGAGCAGTTTTTGTTGTGTAAAATGTTTTAGCCTCACCCAGCCAGCCCAGAGATCCCCAGTGTCTTTTTTAATTAGTCCATTCAAACTCCCAGACGGTAGTCTGTGTACAGATCCAAACGATCGACGGCTTGGGACGCCGAGCAGGACCCTTCGGTAGCTGGAACACCAAGTGGATCGACCGATTCACCGGTGGAGAGTCGATAACAGCGGTAACCTTGACGAGCTGCTGGAGTCGCCCGTTCTCTGTTGAGAGTTGGTGTGGTGATGGACAAAAATCCGTTGGGTCGTTTGCAAACGGGGGAATAAAAAAGGGAAAAGATGGACACTCGAGCAGTCAGACAAAGAGGTCCCTTCACAACGTGGAGGCCCAACACTGAAGGATCAAAAAACATAAGATTGTACGTAGGTGACTTGGCGGGGGCTCTCCGAATACGACGGCAGCAATGACTTCCCACGGCCGAAGCTCAGGTCTAAACGCTTCTTTTTCATCCTTCATTCTCGGCCAATAAATGCTGCATGTCTCTCTCTTTCTGACAAGACAGGTACAATGCTTCGTTCGGTGTTTGACATGGCCTCTGGGCGATCAGCAAAGTTTGTTGTCCACACATACCCGCACGCATCTTCAGTCTTGTCACCTGTCCCTATGTGCGTGGGAGAGACAGAAAAAAAAAGGGGCATATTCCTGCCCAGCAATCCTGCACTACACCAAGACCACCGGAAGAATTCTTTTCATTTCTGTGATTTCTTGGGCTTGCCCCCCCAAGCATCCAAATTCTGGAGAAATGGGAACAAGGCCTCAAGACAACGTCATACTTGGCGCTCCAAACCCCTGCAACTTGTCCTTCCTCTTCCAGTGCAAGCGTTGGTTTTAAAAAAGATCAGATGCCTGCCGCTTGCAGGGTGGCCAAAATTGAGTTGTGTGCTTGGCGGGGCTCATCCCCAGATTTCTAACGAGATCGTTTTTTTCTAGAAGCGCGGAAATAGACTTCCCAATCGCCCGTCGACCGTTGAGATCAGAACTTCACCTGATCTTTTTCGACCAACAGTAGCTCAAACAGTCGGGAAGAAGTGAAACGGAAAACTTTCGCAACCATTTCCCCATTCTCCGTCTTCAATTCGGAACCCCTATTTTCCTAGCATCCGTAGAAAATGTTCGGATTTAGAAATCTCTCCACCATCCAATACGGAGCTCTGAATGGAGCATGCACGTCAACTCATCATTCCAGTTTTGCACCGCCACCAGACCACGTCAGTAGGCTTGGGCGGGTTGGGGGGATCTTTTAACTTTCCGCACAACCCGCGTCACCACTACCGGCTCCCGCGCACCCGAAAGGAAGGAAACTGCTGCTGCTGGCTAGCTGGCTATGTTGAATGACTCGTTCGATCATCCAACCAACAGATCGGATCTCTAAGCGCAGAGACGTGCGGGAGACTTCAACAGCTGACAACACCCAGCCGTTGGATCCTACAGCTCCGCCTGGTGCGGGTTTTAGCCGCTCATGAGGCTCTGTTAAACGGTCAAAAGACAACGGCCAAAGCCAGTCAAACGGCTCAAAACAGACTCGAAGTTATGATTCCAAACCCTCCAGACCTATCATCCGACCAAGCAACATAGGTACCCAACCCCCAAAGATGACCACAAACTCCACCAACCTCACATTCAGCCCAAGTCCGTTAAGATATACCTCTGCCAACCAACCTTACTTACCTGTTTTGGCTTGCGTGTACAATCAACCCACAACCGACCGGACCAACCTGTAGGGCTTCTTGGAAATGCAACAATTACACAAGCACCACAGCACAACATCATTTGCTAGTTTTCCAAGTTTCACAAAAACGAGGACGAAAATCATGTTCTAGAATTTCAGAAAGAAAAAAAAGTCCGAAGAGGACCCTTGACTGGCTGCCGCTGCTGTGTCACCTAATTCTGCTTGAATACACATACATTACCAAAACATGATCATTGTATCGCTCCGGGAACGAATGACTTTCTTTACTCCGGCAACGGACATGGTATACGAAAAGTACGAACCAAGTCCGGGGAATACGGAACCCCGAAGACATTGCAAAAAAATTCTCAGCGGATTAGCATAATAATAAGAAAAGGCCGAGATTGAACTCGCGGACGATGAGGAGTTTTTTCTTCTTCTGCCTTGTTGGGCAGCTCGTAACACACCTACCTACCTTTTTTCCGTGTTCCTACATGGTCCGTTGGATGGACGGTCAATAACAAGGGAGCTGGCCGACACATCCAACATCTTACCAAGTTCTGGAGGTTGTCAGCGCTTGCAACATGGTCCTCGACAATGCAGATATCTTGTTGAGGACAAACCTGACTTATTATTAGGCAGGGCCATGATTATTAATGCTTCGTGAGCCTTTCATGCCAAACCGCCGAGTTGATAGCAGCGGCTCACCCTATTCCTGTCAGCTTGCATAACCTTCCTTCTGAGCTCTATCCCTTGGCTCACCGTCAACCACGTCAAACATCCCTCCCAGACAACTGCAAATCCCCCCAAAGACTAGCCCAAGGCATCATCATCACCCAAGCAGCCAACAAGGCACGCATGCACCACAAAGCCTCGATCCCAGCGCTTAACAGCAGTTTTGCGAATGACATATCACTCTACAACCCAACACCGGTCAAAACCGCCCACCCACTTACTTAGGAACAACCAGGTACATTCACCACATCTGTCGTAGGTCACCTATATACAACCACTGACCCCATTAAATGCGATCCAAACCACCACCACCACCCTAAATAGCCACCACCAGGGTCTGTTTCCCTTTTTCCCGAGAAAACCAAAAATAAAAGTCAACTTTGCTTCTTACCACAAGTTCGAATCGAAAACCCCACCCTCTTTGCAAAAAGCGCCTTAACATGAACCCCCCCCCCCCCTCTTCCCAAAATCATCATAAACGAAAGACAATAATCATAAAAACACCATCTATCATGCCCCTTCTCCACACCATGTTCAAAAATTTCGAGAAAAAGAAAAGAGATCATCAATGAACATCCCAAACCCCCCTGCCGCAAGCTCAGCTGGCAGCCACAACACATCCTTCCCATAGAGAACTGTACAATACATTCCATTATACAAAAAAAGATCAGGGTATCACAAACCAACTTATCAATTGGGAGGTCCAGGTGAATAAGGCTTATACCCCGGGTACGCCGCGCTCTGCTCCTCCACTACGGGAGTCGTCGGTTGCCTGTATCCACTGCTCTGCTGTGCTTGTGGAGGACGGCCGTATCCGCTGCTTGGTTGTTGCTGCTGTTGTGGTGGACGGCTGTAGCCTGTGCCGAAATCAAACCCTCCCATGTTGTCGGAGGACGAGCTCACGTCGTTGCCCGAGTACTGACGTTGTGGACCGCGAGAGTCAGACGACGAGTATTGTCTGTTGGGGGGTGGGCGGCCATATCCTTGCTGGGGACCAGGCGACCGTCTGTCCTGGCTGCTGCCATATGCTGGGGCGGGAGCATCATAACCGCCGCCGCCGTAGCTATCCTGAGGCGCAGGGGTGCGTCTTGGGCTTCCACCGTAGCCATTGTTGTAATCACTCTGGGGTCCGGGTGTCCGTCTTTGGTTGGGGTTGCCATACCCTGCATCGGCTTGAGGGCCAGGTGTCCGTCTTTGGCCTTGGCCATAGGCTCCTCCATAACCCGCCTGAGGTCCAGCAGCTGGTTGTGCTGATGGGGGTTGCCCATAGCTGCCAGCGTCCAGTTCCTGAGCGCCACCATACGGTTGATTCGTCCCAGTGCCGTAGCTGTCGTAGATATCGCCATAGTTGTCATATCCACCACCCTGTCCCGTCTGCCGAGGTGTCACACCTTGCTGTTGCTGTCCATAGCCCTGTTGTCCGTAGCCTGGCTGTCCATAGTCATTGTTGTCATACCCAGTATTATACCCGCCGCCAACGTTGCCAGGAGACCTGCGTCCTGGTCCGATTGCACCTGGCCCCATTGCGCCTGGTCCAATTGCACCTATTCCCACTGCACCTGGTCCGTTTGCACCTGGAGCCATACCGTACCCTTGACCCGGCTGTCCATAACCACCCGCTGGCTGGTTGTAACTCTGCGCAGTCTGGTTGTATGGATCGTTAGCCACAGCCCCTGGAGGGAAGTATCCATTAGATTGTGCTCCAGCGCCTGGTGGTCCGTAAGGGCTTCTGTTCCCCGGGTTCGGGCTCGTAGAACCACGCCCAGGTATTGCACCCGCCGCAGCTACTCCATTCATCACTGGTCGGGCTTTGCGCGTTTGGTGAGTTGGCTTCGGGCTTCTTCAACTGGTTCATCTCCACGGCCTCCTCCTCCTCTTCCAACACGATCTTCTTGCTCTCCGCACCTTCCCAGCTCGGCATCTCGGGAAGTGCATCTTCATTTCCAGGCTTGTTCTTGCCGACATCGAATTCAGCATATTGGGGTTTGCTTGTCACGCCCGTCGAAGCGGCATATCCACCACCACCACCACCGCCACTAAAAACAGGGGGTGCAGTAGGGCGACTGTCATACCCAAGGTGCATAGGCTCCTGCGACTTGTAACCCTGATTTGGCGGGATGTACGGCTCGTCAAGATACTGCCTTCGGTCCCCCCTTGGAGGGTCACAGCACCCGCAGCAATTACCGCAGCACTGGAGACACTTGAAGCACGAGCAGCAACATGATTTGGCGCAGCACGCGCAGCGAATGATGCACCATAGCACTGAGAAAATGATGATACCCCCAAGAATCATGAGCCTCGATTACTAACCATCTAAACAGCAACGCGTCAACAATATTCAAGCAATGAAGAATAGTGGTTCA